GTCCCGATGCCCGGCGCCGCGATCTTGTTCAGGGCAGCCACGACGGCTTCGGTGTCGGAATCGCCGTCGCTCGAGCGAAGAAGGCGCACCGCATCCATGGCCTTCAGCATGCGGCGCACCTTCATGTCGTGTGCACCCTGCGTCGCGCCTTTGAGGAGGGTGTGGCGGTCGACGAATCCCGGCTCGGCGACCCTATCGCAAAGACGGCGGGTGTCATCGGCGGTGGCGGAGTTCCAGAGGCGCCAAGCGTCCCTCACGGTCTTTGACTCCCGCCAAGGTTGCACCACGTTGAGCTCGTAACGAGCCTCGTCGAGCGTCTGTGGGGGTTTCTCGTACCGTTTCTTGTTTCTGGCCCCCGGACTGGCCGAATCCGCGGAGCCACTCTCGCTCGGCGTCTGCTCGTTCCCCGACGGCGGCGTCTCCGGCATCCTCCGTGCTTCTGACACACGGAGTGCCTCGGTGAGACGGGTTATCTCGGCGGTCAGCGTCGCGATGGTATCGTCGCGCTTCTCGAGTTCATCCTGAAGGTCGATCTTCTCGACCGCGGCGCGCTCCCTCTCGTACTTCAGCGTCTCCTTGAGGGACATGTTATGGTATTCGGTGTCCAAGCGAACGGAGATTTCCTGCAGCACAAGGCGGAAAGGCGAAAATTGTTTAGAATACACCCGTAACAGATAGGGTCCCGACGACGCCGACTTTAGCGACGGTTTACCTCTGCCTGAATGAGGGTTGGGTCCCGGCGTTTGTTGATCGTTTCGGTGTCGATCTTCTCGACCCTTTTCGCCCAGTGCTGAAAGAGGGCAATCCGGCAGAGCTTCGAACCTTGGACGTACGGGTGCCAAGGGGTGCGGACGAGCTTCACCGCGAGGTCCTCGGCGACGATGTGGCGCATCATCTGGAGGGTACGCCAGAAGTGCACGGCGGCTTTGTCGGCGTCGCTCCCTTCTTTGGCAGCTCGCGTTTCCGCCTGCACATCGGCAGGTGATGTGGGTTAGTAAAGCGATGGGCAGCCAACGAAGCAATGGCGACGTAAGGTCATTGTCGGCGTCTATTAACATACATCGCGCAGCAGAGCATCGACGCCGGGGAAGATGTGCTCGGCGATGATGTCCAAGAGTTTGTCGGAGGGCTCGACCCTGCTGCGACCCAAGAAGTAGTCTTGCTTGCAACCCGAGTAGCCGGCCTTCTTCAACACCTCCCCAACGGGAATGGCTGTGATGTAAGCACGCGTCATCTTGTCGAGTGCCCAGTGACCCAGCTCGGCGATCTCGGCGCGAGGCGTCCCTTCAATGGCTAGCTCCTGCGCACCTCCGGCACGAGCGGCGTGCACGTTCCGCTTGCAGAACACCTTGTTGGTCGTCCACAACTGCCGCGTCCAACGTTGGTGGCTGGAGGCGGAGAGCTCTTTTTGCTCCTTGTCGTTGCGGGCGAAGAAGAGGTGCTTCTTGTACCAGCGCTCGCGTTCGGTGGTGTCAAGCGGCGGAAGGAAGTCGACGCCGTTGAACTGACCGATCTGGTCGAGGATGAAGTGCAACCATAGGCCGGTCTCGCCGACGGCGCACAACTCCGCTTCCAGGTGTCGCGCCGCGTAGCTCTGCTGAAGACGGGCATCCTTGGAAGTCTTCGAGTTCCGCGCGGCGATCACCATGACGACCGGCTGGTTCTCCGGGTTTATCGACGAGGTGCTAGCCAGTCGGTACAAGAAGATGTCGGGGAGCGTGATCTCGCGGATGCTGGCGCCTCGCAGGAGAGTGTGGTGGGAGAGTAGCGTGAGCGCCTTGGTGAGCAGAAATCGCCACAGCGTCTGCGAAGGAGCGGTTGCCCGCGGGTTCCACGCCGACGCCGCCCATGTCGGCAGCACCTTCATCATGATCTGGCGGAACTGTTCGGCGGTGTATGTATCGCCGATGGTGCCGCGACGCCGGTTGGCACAATTCCTGCCCACAAAGCCACCGAGTATTTTGAGTTTGACGGCGTCGACTTCATAGTGACATGGACAGAGGTTGGCGGTGTCGACAAACTTACTTGACGTCCCTCTCGTTCTTGGTGCGGACCATGAACCGCACCTCCGATCTGACCACCGATATCTCCCGCATGATGCTCAGCTCCTTCTCCCGGTAGAGCGTCGCCTCCACTCTCGCCGCCATCTGGCATGCCTTTATGCGCCCGAGGAGCGTGTGCACCGTTGTACCTTGCACCGGCTGGGTTCGCGGGGCATTGTTCCCCTCCTCGATCGACTCGGCATCGAGCTGACACTCGCGTATCATGAACTTCACATAGGCGCGCAGCCGGGTTTCGGTTACCCTAGGGCCGTGCAGCCAGATGTACTCTCGGGGGACCTCGGCCACTTTGTCCCAATTCTTCTTCTTGTTGTCCCGGATGTAGTGGCCGATCTCGTCGACATGCCTAAGCCTGTGCTCCTGGGGAAGCTTGTCGCGTATTTGCGTCAGCATTTTCGCCGCCCACCTCTTGTAATGGTAGATGAACGAGGTGTACAGCCTCAGCGTGCTATTCTTCTCCAAGGTTTGCAGGTGGCGTAGGGCGTATATGACCAGCACGTCGATGCTTGCGTAAACCATGTCGTCCTCGACGAAGTCTGCTGCTCTCCACTGTTCGCGTGGCACCGCCATGTTCTGCTCGTCCTCGTCCTCGTCCTGTTCTAGCATGTCATCTATGTATTCAAGTTCCCGCCGGAGGCGTTCTTCCAAGGTTCGCGGATTCGTGCTACGCGGAGGACGCTCGTCGTATTCGTCGTCGCTCTCCTCCTCCTCCTCCTCCTCCTCCTCATCATCAACCTGGTTTCCTGAGCCGCCCGGTACCGACGAAGGTCCAGGCTGCCCATCTTACGTCGGTGTGGACTTACTAGCTGGCTTGGTAAACTCTCCTATCGGCGGTGGGGGAATGTCCTTGGTGAAATCCCCTTATGGAATCTGTGTCAGTGCGTCAAGATCGTAGAGTAACTTGAGCGTCTCTTCGGGGGTAGAGGTATCAATGTGGTCGGTTGGGGGACCAACGTCGGGCATGTCGACGTCTGCCATGAGGCCGCTCGTAGTTTGCTATACCGTCGACCATGTTCGAGGTAAGGGATGGACCACCAGAGACGGTACTGAGTCGCGGGTGCGGTGTACACCCGATGAGTTGCTCGGGCGTCTTCGTCGGATTCTCTCTCAAGTGCTTCTAACTCAGCGGCGAGCTCGAGGCGTTCCAGCTGTGCTTTGATGTCGGCGTCTACAGAGTCGGCAGGGGGTGGGATGGGTTGCGGCTGTTGGGCTCTAGGCCGTGCTCTGGACATGCGTCGCCGACCTAGTTAGTTGTGATCGGTTACCTAAACACGCTACCGGTGCCGACGTGATCGATTGGTCGGCGCACGAGTAACCCACACTCGCGAAGATAGCTAAGGAGAGGAAAATTCAAAGTGGAAGAGGGAGCAGGAAGGAACGCAGGAACGCACAATGGAATGAGCACCAGCGCAAGGTCACGGAGGGGTATGGTCGTGAGCGACTCCCGATTTTGCCGCGCTTCACGCAACCCCCTATGCTTGTGCCGCTATGCATGTGTTCTCGTGCGGCGGCGCAGTGTCCGACGTGCCACGAGCCATGCATGGCTAATGGGTCGCCGCGCTGCACTCACGGGGCGTAAGCCTGGGCACGTCCACGGTGGTATGTGCGTGCGTTACGTGGCGTGGGCCCATCATTGGTGCCTCTACGCAGAAACGCCGACATGCCGACTTCCATTGCCTAAGGGCACGGAGTTATTGAAGAGCCGCGTGGCAAGCCCACCGTGAGCCCTCGTGGTCGACGCCGACTTTCGTGGTCCGGACAATCCCGTTGGATCCTTAGTCGACACCGACATGGCGAGCAGCTCGCGATGCCAGACAACTGTAACATTTTTTGACGGACAGATCTTCGCCGCGTGGATCGGCCACCGACAAATTTGGGCGCGCAATGGAGTTCCCGCGCTGAAATCGCGGCTCGACGTGTCGTGCTGTGAGTTTTTGTCCGCTGAGATGTCCTTCTCGGGTTTATCTCAGCGAAACCCGAGGTCGTCAGATCGTCGACAGTCCCGAGGGGTCAGGTCTGCCATTTCGCCCCAGTTTGCCACTCGGAGTCGTCGGGAGTTCGTCAATCCCGAGGAGGGCCGTTGTCCTATCGCAACCGCGAAATTGGGCGGCAGTTTTCGTCGGCTGAGGTATATCCTCCCGTCGCGGGCAGCGGGCACGGGAGGGCTGCCTTCGCGCGAGGGTTACTTTCCCTCGCGCGAGGGCTCGCCAGCTCGCCGCCCCCACCCGGTAACGTGGGGCGCTGTTCAATCACGCAGGGGGGTTGCGGGGCGGCGGTCGTGCGCTCGGCCCGGCCCTGGGCCAGGCTGGCGGGCCCGCACGCGCGTCAGTTGCCCGCCTCGTCGGGCCCGGCTCCGACGACCCCCTCTGACGACACCGGCAAATCAGTTCCGACGACCGATTTGCGCTGGGATGTTCGTCCTAGTGACCCTCGCGACCTGCCCGGACGGGCAGGCGAGGGCCATGCGAAATTCGGGTGCTCCCCTCGGGAAGCTCGACGATTTCGCGACCCGTTGCGGTGACGCCGCGTGCTCGCACGCGGGTTCGCATCGGGTGCATGCGAAATTTCGAGCCCGGCGAAATCGGTTCGCTCGCATCGCGGCGCGGGGTTTTCGCGATCCGGGGCGAAGTCGACACGTGTCGGCCGAAACGAGGCACCGCGCGCATGCGAAATTGCGTCTCCTCGCCGAGCGAAGCCGGGGGACGCGAAGTCGACGTGCTGGCTCGGCGGCGAAGGAGCGCTTGTGCATGCAGCCCGCCAAACCCTGCCGAGCCAGGCACCACGAACCCTGGGCGATGCCTCAATCGGCCTGTGGGGCACCGACTCCCTTTCCTTGGCGGAAGGAGGCATCGCTCCTCATTTTCGGCATCTCGTTTCACTTTCAACATTACTCCCACATTCTCGTCCCTTCTTAGCCTGCAGTCAATTCCCTTCAACGCAATGGAGGCCGACCCGAAAGCCGGCGAAGCGGCGCCGACCGTGCAGGACTTCCCTCTGTATCTCGACCTCGGTAGTGGACTCACTGCCAAGCTCGAGGAACACGACTACGCCATCCTCGTAGACCATAGGCTAGAGTTCAACGCCCGTTGCTTGGGATTCGGCATCAAGTGAGTCTGCGTATGTGGATGTCGGCGTCGACATCTTCTTACATTGCTGGTCGACGCAGCGTCGGTGTTAGGGTTGTCCCACGTCGGAGGCGGCGCTACGAGTTCACGTCGACGCCGACAGTAGGTCGGTGTCGGCACAGGCATTAGGCACGCATCGGTCGGCTCAATTGATTACAACGTCGCGAGGGTGGTGCACCGTCGTACGATTGCCATCCCCGTCGGTCGGCGGTTCCTAAACCAACGTATCCACCGTCGTGTCGTGCACATACTCACTCACTCCTTATTCCCATGCATGCGTGCAGGCACGCATGGACTCGCGCGGCGCCGGCCAACATGCGATTGTGGTCGATAGGACTCGGCCGGCTTCGGGCGGCGATGGGTCGGGCGGACCACACATACTTTGCGACGGTTTTCGACGCCGACGTAGCGGTTATCCCCTTGACTTCGAGGTGAGCTGGTTAGAAGTCGTCACGATGTGTGTTGCATCCTATGTCGGTGCTCTGTTCTGAACGACGTCGTCGTGCCTTGCCTGTGCAGCATCGCACCGCTTCCAGGAGCACATTGCAGCATCGTTGTCATCCTGTACCCCGGCGACCTGTTGAAGGGTGGGGGGGAGAAGATCAGGACCTCGATCCGGCACTTTGACCCGCAGACCGTGAAGCAGTGGCACCGCGACGAGGCGATCCGCGTGCTGAAGTGAGCTCGATAGTGTAGTCGACGACGCATGCAATTTCGCCGCGCAGCGTAAACCATGCTTACCGACAATCTGTGCCATGTTGCTTCAGGTTTTTCCGGGCGGCGGTCCTGGCCGAGCTTGGGTGCGATGGTAGGAAGTGGGAGTGGGCGAAGCCTTCCGATGAAGAGGTGGAGGACAGGCTCGCCGACTGCGATCAACCCGTTCGAGATGTGAGTTCCGAACGAATCACCGTCCTATGTCATCCTTGCGCGATGCGATTGCCGAACGCGGTGCTCATCCTTGCGCTCTGAACTGTTGTATGCAGAAAGTGCCCGACGCCGTCCGGGACGGGGACGCGGGCTCCGGCCTGCTAGCAATGAGCGCGTTGTGCTGGGTGGTGAGGAGGATGGATCTCCTGACCGGCGCCATCCGTCGCAGTGAGACCAGCATGGACAAGGTCAACGTTTCGGGGTTGAAGGGGCTGCGGAATGGGATGATAACATTCGTCAAGGAGCACGTCGCTCTCAAACGGTCGGGCCATGTCGGAGTTGCTGCCGACGCCTGTGACGACGACGGCGAGGAGGCCCCTTTGGCATCCACAGCAATAGGTGTCGCCTACACCGTCGATGATGCGCGTGGGACTTCGATCGGAGAGCCCGGAGGCGGCGTCGACAAGGAAGATGAGGAGGCGGGAAGGGCGGTGACTGGGACCGCGGAGAAGAACCAGGAGGATAACGAGGATCAGGAAGAGGACCATGAGGATCGTGAGGAGGAGGAGGAGGAGGAGGAGGAGGAGGAGGAGGAGGAGGAGGAGGAGGAGGAGGAGGAGGAGGAGGAGGAGGACAAGGAGGACGAGGACGAGGAGGAGGAGGAGGAGGAGGAGGAGGAGGAGGAGGAGGAGGAGGAGGAGGAGGAGGAGGAGGAGGAGGAGGAGGAGGCGGAGGAGGCGGAGAAGCAGCAAGAGGGGGAGCAGGAGGAAGAGGTCGAGTGGGAGTTGGAGGAAATGGAGGTGGAGTACGTAGAGGGAGCGGCGGAAACGGCTGGGAGGTCGGCAGATGTTGTGAACAAGGGAGGGGAGGATGCCGACGAGGAGAAAGTCGGCGTGGAGGAGGCTCACGGGGGGGGTGAGAAGGTCGTGGTCGGCGATGTGGATGGCGACGCGAAGGAAGTTATCGACCTCGAGGTCGTTGGAAGGCGAATCGTGGAAGGCGATGAAGTCCTTCGCCGAAAAGGCGTCGACGTGGTTGGCGGAAATCGACGGTCCGGAGGGAAGTATGGCAGTTGAACGCGCAAAAGCGGTCGCCGCCTTGGGCAACCACGTGGAAGCGGTGGTGGACGATGCGAAGCTGGGTTTGGAGGACTTCATCTCGAAGCACCTAGCCGCCGCGCAGGCCAACATTGCCGCCGCGGTAACTCGCACCATCGCCGTGCCGCCGCCGCCCCCGCCGCAGCCCACGCCAGCCTTCCCGGACGAGCTCATGAAGTCGTTCAAGGCGGACGTGTTGAAGGCGGTGACGGAGGCCACCCAGCAGTCGTTTGTTGCGTCCGGGTTAAAGCTCATGACCGAGGTGATCGGCAATGTGGCGGCTGGTCGGCGTGCGTCGTCGCCGTCGGCCAATGACGCCGATCCCGCGCAACGAAGGGAGGCCGACAAGCAGGGCCGGAAAAGGGCGGGCGGCGGAGATGATGCAGGGAGCGTGAAGCGGAGCAAGGGAGCCGATGGAGGCCGCGGCGTCGGCGCGGTGGGTCCAGGCGGCTCGCGGACTCGAGGTCAGAGCGTGGTCGACCAGCTCAAGAAGAACGGGGCCAAGGTGATAAGGTCGCACAGCAAGGGCGATGGAATCGGGAGTGCAGATGGGGGCCATGCCGACGAGGTTGCCGCACAAGACGGCGGGAAAGGCTTGAGCGACAAGGAGATCCCAACCGCTCAAACGGCAATAGATGGCGGCGCCAGAACCGTCAAGGGACCGTCTGTCGGGGTCGCGGGGACCACGTCGATTCCCCGAAAACCCCCTGCGGCTAGCAGCGCGCCGGTCGGCCCGTCAGCCGCCAACAACGATGGGCCGGCCCTTGTGGCTACTCCAGCTGCAGTGGGCCCGTCTGCCGCCAAGGGCGACGCGAAGGATGCTGCGGCTAACCGCGACGGTCCGTCCGCCTCTAAGGTGCCCGCAGCGGCGAACGCGCTCAGGGAAATGCTCCACCGCATGGAGGCCCATCGCAAGGACGTGCAGCAGCCTCCCTTGGTCGATGCCGCCCCCGCCGAAGCAGCACGCCGCACGGTCACTCCGCAGGTCGCCGCCACAACGCCCAGTGCCCCACATACCGCGCCTCTGGTCGCCGCCCATCCAACTGCGGACCCAAAGTCCGCATTGCTTCGCGCTCGGTTAGGCGCACGTAGTGCGGCAGCGCCAGCACAGACTCGGTCGGAAGCCGGCTCAAGCGCGACGCCGACGTCGGTAAACGAGGCGGCGGAGAAGGGCGTGAGGGCAGCGCTAGCCACCGGCGGCGGAGCCGTTGACCATGCACAGGCGTCGATAGGCCACAACGACGCCGACATCGCTGCCATCCAGAACCTGTTGGAATCGGTAAAACGCCCCGGGCACCCCGCTGCTCTGGCCATCTCGGACACGGCGCATGTGGAGCCCTTGGCGAATCCCCCCGCTGGTTCAGCGGAGCCAAAGACGACCACTGATGCTGTCGGCGATGGAGAGTCGAAACGGAAGGGGAAGGCCGACACAGTGAAAGGGAGGGCGAGCTCTCAGAGGAAAACACGGGCGATGTCGGCCGAGACAGGGAGGGATAAGGCGAAGGAGAAGTCGGTGGAGAAAGGGAAGGAGAAGGCGGAGGAGAAGGAGAAGGAGAAGGAGAAGGAGAAGGCGGCGGAGAAGGAGAAGGAGAAGGCGGCGGAGAAGGAGAAGGAGAAGGAGAAGAAGGAGAAGGAGGAGAAGGAGAAGGAGAAGGAGGAGAAGGAGAAGGAGAAGGAGAAGGAGAAGGAGAAAGGACGGAAGGGTCATGGCATCCGCCACGACAACTCGGGCGACGGTCTTGGGTGGGTGGGCGAGATTAAGGTGCTCGGCGCTAATCGATACATCGGCAAATCGCGCGAGAAGATGGAGCTGGCGTACTTGCACTCGATTGCGTACATCGTCTACGACGGCTACGTCAGCAAGGTCCTCATGGCCGAGCTCACCGGCTTGGAGGAAACCGAGTTGGAGAAGTGGAGGATGGTGTGGGAGGAGGTCAAGATTTTGCCGACAGGGATGTGGACGGTGATATGGGCACGGGGCGCGTACCTTCAAAAAACACGGTAAGTCGGATACCCTTTCGGCCGAGTGTTGATGACGATGTCGGAGTCACTAATAGTCGCTCGGTTTCATGTGATTGTGTGACAGGTTCGATGACATTCTCGGCCAGTATCGAGCGTACAAGAGCTCAGGCGATGCGCACCACGACGCGCTCTTGCCGGCGATCTGGTTCCCCGTCGATGCCGTCACAAAGGAAGGCCAGGAGAAGTCGGATGCTATGATGTCGGCCATGATAGGTCGCGTGTCCATGTGCGCTGCGTATGGGAAGGTCGCTGCGAGCGCGGCGAGGAAGGAGGGAGACACTGATGAGAAGACGGCGATTGCGGCACAGGCGTTATCGGCCTCCGCTTGCGCCGTGTGGTGCTTAGTCGAGAACGACGACGCCCAGGTGGTCGATGCTGTGGGCGAAGGGAAGGCGGCGGCGATGGTGGTCGGTGCGAGCGAGAAGACCGCCGGTGTCTTCAAGGAGGTCATGCAGGCGGTGCTGGAGGCCGAGATCGACCGGGAGCAACCCTTGGGGGAGGTTGCGCACAACGTCGCGCCGGCGCTGCAGAGTCTCGCTCTGCACCGGGTCTACCCGGGGGTGGATCATGAAGTCGAAGCCGACGTGATTGCTAGAGCGACAGTGGAGACATTGGCGTTCTGGGGAATGTGCCCCGTCGCCGGCCCGAAACTCGAAAAGATCGGCATCGCGGTGCCGTGTGACGCGCAGATGGAGTACGACATTGAACACAGGGGGAGGAAGGGGCAGAGAGGCAAGCAGGGCAAGGACAGCACGGGGAAGAAGGGGAAGAAGGGCAAGAAGGGCAAGGACAGCACGGCGGCGTAGTCGGCGCGCGGAGGGAGCGCGAGGTGGTCTGATTGCTAGTGTGTTTGTAACCTTTTTAGTGTTTGTAACTTTTTGTTTGTGTTTACTTATGTGGTAGCGCATGTAACTTTTTGGTAGTGCATGACATGTAGAACCCTCGTCGGAGATGTCGACCTGATCGCTACCCTCTGAATTGCACACTCAAATGCTACTCGGGGATGAATTTTTGTCGGCGTATATGTCGGAGTCCGAAAATACGTCGGCGTCGTTGGATGTCTGTCGACATAGAGGGTTTGGCTGTCTGCAAGTATTTTCGGGGTGTTTGTTGGTCGGCGACCGACTGCAGTTACCATTGTTGGATCATCTATGTTCGCATGGGCATTGTTGTATGACCATCGTTTACCAACTTCATGAACAAAATAAGCATCATGGTTTGGTGCAATCGACCACAATTACAGCATCATCAAACTACGCGCACACATATGCTCCGAAGGTACTCATGCCGCCTTCTTGCGCTTCGTCGGAGGACGCAGCACAGGTGCGGTCTGCCGCTCCATGTCCGCCACGGTCTTCGGCATCTGCTCCTCCCAGGTGTCTGGAAACAGGACGGCGACCCAAGCGGTCGGCTTCAAGTTGACCCCCACCAGCGCACAGGCGAGACGTAGCTTCGAGACCGACTTGGGGCCCAGCCCCTTGACGCCCATGCCGGGCTCCTTGGACTTCGTCGGTGCGGTTCCCGGTTTGAGCACCGTGAGGGCATCGCAGAAGGTCCCGATGCCCGGCGCCGCGATCTTGTTCAGGGCAGCCACGACGGCTTCGGTGTCGGAATCGCCGTCGCTCGAGCGAAGAAGGCGCACCGCATCCATGGCCTTCAGCATGCGGCGCACCTTCATGTCGTGTGCACCCTGCGTCGCGCCTTTGAGGAGGGTGTGGCGGTCGACGAATCCCGGCTCGGCGACCCTATCGCAAAGACGGCGGGTGTCATCGGCGGTGGCGGAGTTCCAGAGGCGCCAAGCGTCCCTCACGGTCTTTGACTCCCGCCAAGGTTGCACCACGTTGAGCTCGTAACGAGCCTCGTCGAGCGTCTGTGGGGGTTTCTCGTACCGTTTCTTGTTTCTGGCCCCCGGACTGGCCGAATCCGCGGAGCCACTCTCGCTCGGCGTCTGCTCATTCCCCGACGGCGGCGTCTCCGGCATCCTCCGTGCTTCTGACACACGGAGTGCCTCGGTGAGACGGGTTATCTCGGCGGTCAGCGTCGCGATGGTATCGTCGCGCTTCTCGAGTTCATCCTGAAGGTCGATCTTCTCGACCGCGGCGCGCTCCCTCTCGTACTTCAGCGTCTCCTTGAGGGACATGTTATGGTATTCGGTGTCCAAGCGAACGGAGATTTCCTGCAGCACAAGGCGGAAAGGCGAAAATTGTTTAGAATACACCCGTAACAGATAGGGTCCCGACGACGCCGACTTTAGCGACGGTTTACCTCTGCCTGAATGAGGGTTGGGTCCCGGCGTTTGTTGATCGTTTCGGTGTCGATCTTCTCGACCCTTTTCGCCCAGTGCTGAAAGAGGGCAATCCGGCAGAGCTTCGAACCTTGGACGTACGGGTGCCAAGGGGTGCGGACGAGCTTCACCGCGAGGTCCTCGGCGACGATGTGGCGCATCATCTGGAGGGTACGCCAGAAGTGCACGGCGGCTTTGTCGGCGTCGCTCCCTTCTTTGGCAGCTCGCGTTTCCGCCTGCACATCGGCAGGTGATGTGGGTTAGTAAAGCGATGGGCAGCCAACGAAGCAATGGCGACGTAAGGTCATTGTCGGCGTCTATTAACATACATCGCGCAGCAGAGCATCGACGCCGGGGAAGATGTGCTCGGCGATGATGTCCAAGAGTTTGTCGGAGGGCTCGACCCTGCTGCGACCCAAGAAGTAGTCTTGCTTGCAACCCGAGTAGCCGGCCTTCTTCAACACCTCCCCAACGGGAATGGCTGTGATGTAAGCACGCGTCATCTTGTCGAGTGCCCAGTGACCCAGCTCGGCGATCTCGGCGCGAGGCGTCCCTTCAATGGCTAGCTCCTGCGCACCTCCGGCACGAGCGGCGTGCACGTTCCGCTTGCAGAACACCTTGTTGGTCGTCCACAACTGCCGCGTCCAACGTTGGTGGCTGGAGGCGGAGAGCTCTTTTTGCTCCTTGTCGTTGCGGGCGAAGAAGAGGTGCTTCTTGTACCAGCGCTCGCGTTCGGTGGTGTTAAGCGGCGGAAGGAAGTCGACGCCGTTGAACTGACCGATCTGGTCGAGGATGAAGTGCAACCATAGGCCGGTCTCGCCGACGGCGCACAACTCCGCTTCCAGGTGTCGCGCCGCGTAGCTCTGCTGAAGACGGGCATCCTTGGAAGTCTTCGAGTTCCGCGCGGCGATCACCATGACGACCGGCTGGTTCTCCGGGTTTATCGACGAGGTGCTAGCCAGTCGGTACAAGAAGATGTCGGGGAGCGTGATCTCGCGGATGCTGGCGCCTCGCAGGAGAGTGTGGTGGGAGAGTAGCGTGAGCGCCTTGGTGAGCAGAAATCGCCACAGCGTCTGCGAAGGAGCGGTTGCCCGCGGGTTCCACGCCGACGCCGCCCATGTCGGCAGCACCTTCATCATGATCTGGCGGAACTGTTCGGCGGTGTATGTATCGCCGATGGTGCCGCGACGCCGGTCGGCACAATTCCTGCCCACAAAGCCACCGAGTATTTTGAGTTTGACGGCGTCGACTTCATAGTGACATGGACAGAGGTTGGCGGTGTCGACAAACTTACTTGACGTCCCTCTCGTTCTTGGTGCGGACCATGAACCGCACCTCCGATCTGACCACCGATATCTCCCGCATGATGCTCAGCTCCTTCTCCCGGTAGAGCGTCGCCTCCACTCTCGCCGCCATCTGGCATGCCTTTATGCGCCCGAGGAGCGTGTGCACCGTTGTACCTTGCACCGGCTGGGTTCGCGGGGCATTGTTCCCCTCCTCGATCGACTCGGCATCGAGCTGACACTCGCGTATCATGAACTTCACATAGGCGCGCAGCCGGGTTTCGGTTACCCTAGGGCCGTGCAGCCAGATGTACTCTCGGGGGACCTCGGCCACTTTGTCCCAATTCTTCTTCTTGTTGTCCCGGATGTAGTGGCCGATCTCGTCGACATGCCTAAGCCTGTGCTCCTGGGGAAGCTTGTCGCGTATTTGCGTCAGCATTTTCGCCGCCCACCTCTTGTAATGGTAGATGAACGAGGTGTACAGCCTCAGCGTGCTATTCTTCTCCAAGGTTTGCAGGTGGCGTAGGGCGTATATGACCAGCACGTCGATGCTTGCGTAAACCATGTCGTCCTCGACGAAGTCTGCTGCTCTCCACTGTTCGCGTGGCACCGCCATGTTCTGCTCGTCCTCGTCCTCGTCCTGTTCTAGCATGTCATCTATGTATTCAAGTTCCCGCCGGAGGCGTTCTTCCAAGGTTCGCGGATTCGTGCTACGCGGAGGACGCTCGTCGTATTCGTCGTCGCTCTCCTCCTCCTCCTCCTCCTCCTCCTCATCATCAACCTGGTTTCCTGAGCCGCCCGGTACCGACGAAGGTCCAGGCTGCCCATCTTACGTCGGTGTGGACTTACTAGCTGGCTTGGTAAACTCTCCTATCGGCGGTGGGGGAATGTCCTTGGTGAAATCCCCTTATGGAATCTGTGTCAGTGCGTCAAGATCGTAGAGTAACTTGAGCGTCTCTTCGGGGGTAGAGGTATCAATGTGGTCGGTTGGGGGACCAACGTCGGGCATGTCGACGTCTGCCATGAGGCCGCTCGTAGTTTGCTATACCGTCGACCATGTTCGAGGTAAGGGATGGACCACCAGAGACGGTACTGAGTCGCGGGTGCGGTGTACACCCGATGAGTTGCTCGGGCGTCTTCGTCGGATTCTCTCTCAAGTGCTTCTAACTCAGCGGCGAGCTCGAGGCGTTCCAGCTGTGCTTTGATGTCGGCGTCTACAGAGTCGGCAGGGGGTGGGATGGGTTGCGGCTGTTGGGCTCTAGGCCGTGCTCTGGACATGCGTCGCCGACCTAGTTAGTTGTGATCGGTTACCTAAACACGCTACCGGTGCCGACGTGATCGATTGGTCGGCGCACGAGTAACCCACACTCGCGAAGATAGCTAGGGAGAGGAAAATTCAAAGTGGAAGAGGGAGCAGGAAGGAACGCAGGAACGCACAATGGAATGAGCACCAGCGCAAGGTCACGGAGGGGTATGGTCGTGAGCGACTCCCGATTTTGCCGCGCTTCACGCAACCCCCTATGCTTGTGCCGCTATGCATGTGTTCTCGTGCGGCGGCGCAGTGTCCGACGTGCCACGAGCCATGCATGGCTAATGGGTCGCCACGCTGCACTCACGGGGCGTAAGCCTGGGCACGTCCACGGTGGTATGTGCGTGCGTTACGTGGCGTGGGCCCATCATTGGTGCCTCTACGCAGAAACGCCGACATGCCGACTTCCATTGCCTAAGGGCACGGAGTTATTGAAGAGCCGCGTGGCAAGCCCACCGTGAGCCCTCGTGGTCGACGCCGACTTTCGTGGTCCGGACAATCCCGTTGGATCCTTAGTCGACACCGACATGGCGAGCAGCTCGCGATGCCAGACAACTGTAACATTTTTTGACGGACAGATCTTCGCCGCGTGGATCGGCCACCGACAAATTTGGGCGCGCAATGGAGTTCCCGCGCTGAAATCGCGGCTCGACGTGTCGTGCTGTGAGTTTTTGTCCGCTGAGATGTCCTTCTCGGGTTTATCTCAGCGAAACCCGAGGTCGTCAGATCGTCGACAGTCCCGAGGGGTCAGGTCTGCCATTTCGCCCCAGTTTGCCACTCGGAGTCGTCGGGAGTTCGTCAATCCCGAGGAGGGCCGTTGTCCTATCGCAACCGCGAAATTGGGCGGCAGTTTTCGTCGGCTGAGGTATATCCTCCCGTCGCGGGCAGCGGGCACGGGAGGGCTGCCTTCGCGCGAGGGTTACTTTCCCT